TGTATTTTATGGAAGTTGAAATAAAAAAAAATTATAGTTTGTCTTGAATGAAAAACACCCCATGTTTAAAAGTATAAAAATTGTTTGAACACTGTTGAACAGATCTTAAGTATTTATGTTCCTCAAATATATCCATTGCATTAAAGAGACAAATTGAAGAAAGTATTTTAATAAACATGAGGGTTATGAAACTTTTTCTCCCCTGTAAGGGGTCCCTGAACCCAAAAAGTTTGAGAACCCCTGGTTAGACTATCAATTAGGATGCTTAACCATATCTAAAATGTGTTTATATTTTGTGTGTGCGTTTGTTGCAGCATAAGGAAAAGCACCTAGGTTTCTTGTCTGTGGACGAGCGTTTATGGTGGCCATACCAACAGGAGAAAAATCAAAATGTGCAAACACTCATCCTTTCATTCTGCCTGCATCAGATCACCAAACACCATCACTGAGTCTTTCATTCATCCCTGGAGTCCTGTTTGTTGTCACTGCAGCAGGAGCTCATTTAACAAGCTGTAATGGAACCAGGTCTTCGCAGAGATGCTGGGACAAACAGTCTGATATCCAGCTGATGCACACACTCTCTCAGCACATCCACTCCATTCATGTATTTACATATCAGAAGGCTTTTAAAGACTGGTTCAATAAACCTGTCCAAAAATAAGTACAAATGCACAGGGATTGTAGCTGTTACTCACAATCTGCTTTAGTATTCTGGGTCTTACCTTTTGGCACACTGACCAAACCATCAATGTTTTGGCAGGTTGGAACACCTAAAAGATTGGAACCATGAGTAATGTCAATAAACAGCATTAGCACTGGTGATTTTCCTCACCTGATGAGTGGAGGGAGTTGTGCCTTTCACAAACTTACACATCTAAAGCTCTGACTTTTGCTTTTAACTCACTTAGCTCGTCCTATAATTGTCCCTGTTGATCTGTTTCATGTTGATGTGTTCATGCGTGCTCATCTGCTCACACAGATTCATGCTCATGTTCGTGCTGCTGTTCGATGTAACGTTTTTGTGCTATTGGTGCTTAGTGTATATTTAGTTGATGTTTTTCTTAGTTCATATCTTAGATGTTATCATTGTTTTTCTTTTACATTTTATTGTTGGATGTAACTGGGACCCTGTGTACATAATTTCATCCCACCACATGTACCACATGTGGTGCGAATGACAATAAAGAATCTCTGACTCTGACTATAACTAGAACTCAATGTAAAGCACTTAAAAATATGGAAACATAGATATGCCAAATTCTTGGCTTATAGAAATAAATTGAAATAAAGTAAAAACAACAAAATATATATATATATTTTGGGTGGGGGTGGGGGGGTGTCTCCAGAAAGTCTGAAAAACCATTTTTCATGAAAGGTTAAATGCAGTGTCCAAAATGCGGCCCAAGGGCCATTTACGGCCCTTGGAATGATTTTGTGCGGCCCACAGCTGCAGTTTAAGAATGGTGTCATTTTGGACATCAGGCTTAAGAGGTTGATTCAGAGTTTCTGCAAATTAGTTGGTAATATTTTTATATAATGTTTAGGCTTAACAGCAAAACAGATGAAATACAATCATCTCAAAATGAGCAATATTAAGCAAAATACAAACCTCTGGCTATAATCTTTTTATTTTCACTTCATGGTACAAAGCACCAAAAACATTTACTGATTTCTACCAGAAAAGAGACTTTTGGATAATGATTCATAAAACTTGACTAAATATTGTTGTTGATAAAATAATCAAGAGGGAAATTGGACATTTTTAAACCAATAATAACATGGTATCATCTACATACAAGTTGATCAACTTTATCAAACCTTCTATGAATCTATTGTAGCGACTGACAGCTGGACGATTTTTCTGAACTTCCATCAGCCTTTTGGGTCGTCCATGGTCCAGAAGGACACTTACTCATATTATGCTTTTATTGCTGAGAACAGACTAAAATGAACTTTCCAAACACAAGAAAACAACAGACGTAGGCCCAAGAAATCAAATCCTTTTTAATAAAAAATATAAGCATTGTTTATGAGGCTTTTAATGTTTTGGATCTACAACTATTTAAAAATATTTCTCCACCAAAATCATTAAACTTTTGTCCTTTCTCCTAAAATATTGTTCACGCTGAGAGTTAAATTCACATTTTTGTGACCCACGAGTTTTTTCATCTGGATAGTTTTGGCCCATATATGAAAAGGTTTGGACACCCCTGGATTAAAGTAATGCACAGTTTTACTATTTGCAAGGTAAATATAAAAAGAAGAGTAGCTCAAGACTTCTTGAGTCTGACGACCATTTTTGGTTTACATTTATTTTTTTCCGTTTTGTATAAACTCACAACATATTGAAAATGCAGTTCAGGTACAACACAGGAGAAACAACAAATATACGAACAAATGTTTGAACGTAATTCAGAAACATGTACAAAGCACTGTGTTTTGCACTCACCAGTCCATTAATTATATCGTCTTTTTGTCAAAATTAAAAGTGCAAACACAGAACAGAGAGAGATTTGTTTTATTCTTTCTGATGAATGAGTGTGTGTTTTTGTGTTAGTTTTAGTCTGAGGTGGTTCAGACACGTTTTTGTCCAAATGCTTTACTCTGCATTTCCCTTGAAGCATACATTATCAGTTTCATCCTGTGATCTTGTAGAGTTTCTTGTTGAACATGAAATCAACAGATGGTTGCATTACAGTGCTGTAGTTCATAAACATTATTTTGACATTCTGTCCAGCTTTGTTACACACTTGTAACACTTGGATCGGCTTTGTCTTTTGTTTGCTGAAATAAAACTTTTGGGGATTAATATTTTAATGATCTGATGAGATGTAAAGTCTTATGAGATAATAAATGGTCTTTTATGTCGTTGTCTTTTTAATTGACTTTTTAATGTCTGTGGAAGCGAGGTGCAGGGTGTTTAATGCGATCAAGTCGTCGTTTTATTTCGTGATGCTTCAGGAAATCTACTGTAGCTGTGGATATTTGGAAGTCTTATTGGTCAGTTCAGCACAACACTGTTTAAAATTAAATCATTTAGCACACACACTCTTTTTCAGTTTTTGTCTCATTCATAATGCATATGTTGGTTTCTCTCACTCCATCATTGTCTCTCTCACGCTCTCTTCCTGTCTCTTTTTCTCTCTCTGGTGGACTCTCTCATAAATCACTTATGTTGGTATCAGCAGGCAATATATCCCACTGTGCGCATGTATGTGAGTAAACATGTTTCTGTTTCTGCTTATCACTTCTCTTTTCTTTCTTACTCTGTAAAGGGCAGCACAGGCCAGAAACATCTGAAGTGGACCTGAACACTCAGCTCGTGTGTGTGTGTGTGTGTGTGTGTGTGTGTGTGTGTGTGTGTGTGTGGGGGGGGGGGGGGGGGTGGGTTCCGTCCATTCAATATATTTACGTGCCTCTTCTTTTTTGGGTCGTGGGGGTCACTGGTGCCCATATCCAGCAGTCACTGTGCGAGAGGCAGGGGACACCCTGGACAGGTCTCCAGTCCGTCACAGGGCCACATAGAGACAAACAGACAAACAACCATTCACCCTCTCACTCACATCCAGGGACAATTTAGAGTTACCAATCAGCCTAACATGCATGTTTTTGGGCTGTGGGAGGAAACCGGAAAACCCATGCATGCACAGAGAGAACATTCAAATTCCATGCAGAAAGACCCAAAGCCGAGATTTGAACTGGTAACCTCACTTAGAGGCGACAGCTCTACCAACTGAGCCACTGTGCTGCCCATGTCTGTCAGTCTGTCTGTCTCTCTCATAAATCAACATTTTGGTTGTAAAAATAGATAGCACACAAAAAAATGTTCTGTGTACTGTAAATGTACTGTACTTTGGGTCTTGGGAGTTACAACAACCTTTTTTTTTTTTTTTTCCTAAAGGAGTAAAACCAATACTAAAGTTATACTGTATGTACAGCTACAAGGAAGACTTGAGAAGGGATTGAGATCAAATTGTTGTTAAAATTTTAATGTGTAATTTGAGGCTTCAGGAAACGGACAAAAAACATCTCATGGCCTCAATAAAAATCCAGTTAATAATGTCCCATAATAGTAGTAGTAGTTGTTGTTGTTAGGGTTTGACTTTCTGGACCTTAGCTTTGGATATTTTCTGAGTAGCCTCTGATCTCAAGACACAGTTTTTAGAATTGCAGATCCTCAAACAATAGAACACTTTATTTTATTTTATTATGTCACACAATTTTCACACAAGCAACATTTTCTTCAGGACTCCTGCACTATTGAGAGTCTGTGCCCAATACATGTATTTTACACACCGTTACACACATACATGGGACAGGTTATTGTTTTTATATTGAGTAATTGAGTAAACACTTAGTTTTAGTTTTTTTATGTTATTGTATCATAAATATATGTTACATTTAGGTGCATGGTGGGTAAGATGTATAATATAGTTGACTATTATAGAAAGCGTAGCTTGATCCTGTGCAGGGTCCCATGTAGATGGTGCCTATAACAATATGTGCATGCAGGGTTGTATATATGTGGATAAATATGCATATTATATGTGCATGAGTGCAAAATGATACATTTTTTTTACACTCATAAAATGAAACCTAAACTGCTTTATAGGAAATGGTATTCAGTTTGTATGAAATGACAACTTCTGGGTGCAGAGTGAGGTTACGATTTAGAAGGAAATGATTGGCCAGCCCATGCTAAATGTATGCATATGAGCAGCTTGTGCATACCTCCCATGTTAATACATATTCACATATCCACATGAAAAATCCACATTTGTTGTGGTTTTATTATACATTGCGTTTCTCGAAGGGGGAAAAAGAAACTTGAGTGTGTTAATCATTATGCCTCTTGTCTCTATAGATCCACTGGCGCTGTGACATTAAATTTAACAACAGCTGACATATTCATGACCTTCAAAGGAATTTGCAGCATAATAGCTGCAGTATGTATGAGCACTTATAAACTGCATCATGTCTCCTTTTTTCTCTCCTCTCAGGATGGGACCTTCACCAAAGCTCACGTCATTCCAACACCAGATGTAAAAATTGTTGGGCAGTCCTCCTTTGTTGACTTTGGTAAGAATAACAAATATTTAGTCTTTGGTCTAATTTTTTTTCTATTGACGAAGTGACAAAGATTTCTTCTGGTTGGACAAACTGCAAATCAACAAAATGACAAGAAACAAATGTTTGAACACATTCGAGTCATCATAAAATCTCCTAAGAATAGCTATTGGTGAGCTAGTTCAAGTTGCATCAACTTGTCTAGCTATGTATGTGTGTGTGCGTGTGCATGTGATCCTTTTCACTTCTTAGTCCTTTAAGCTCTGTCAGCATTTGAAGCTGTGTAACTTCAAAGGATTCCAAATCAGGCTGTCTGGTCTTTCTCACTTTTGACGGTTTTACTACAGCCCTCTCATCACCTAACTTTCCTCCCCTGTACACACATAAACCTCACATCCTACCTCCTTACTCACTAAGCTTATCTCACACATGTTCCCAGAGTTACAGGCCTGCAATCCCACAAAATACACTGGTACAAACCTACTACCACATATCGAGCCAGATTTCTGTGAGCATCTTATCCCATTAAACAATCTTGGCCGGTAGGATTCATTGTTCAGCCCAGCTTTCCATTTATCCCCTGCAAATCTTCACTGTTCCTCTAATCTGCAGGCTGCAGACTGTACACCATGAAGTGGCCACTGGTCATCTTTTCAGAGCTGCCACCACCAGGGGATTGCAGTGGGTGGATGGGAGAGGTGGAGCGGTACTAGAGGATTCTTATGCTTGTTTTTAAAGTGGAGTCTTACTTCAGTTTAAGAGCAATTATGCAGAACAGAAAATACATGGATAGAAGATTATATCAAGTATTTGTTGATTTTGAGCTGTGGGTAGTTTGTTCTCTTGAACGCTCCTCAGCATTAATGCAAATGGAAAATTTCAATAAAAATGTTTGACTAGGGGAAACAGTGGTGGCAGCAAAAAGGAGCTGAAATGGCAATAACAAAGAACAAACACAATAACATGTAATGTAATTATGTAGATATTTAAGGCACTGCTCCAAATGAGTTTTAGTCCTTTCTTGTAGGAAATTATCTATATGCAGTCTCAATCATGACCCAACCAGTTCCTAATTTTGGTATAATGATACTTCAAGGCTGATAGGTTTTACAAACTGAATATGGGCTCACCACTGACCGCACTCTGAGTGCTGTTCAGCTGAGCTTATTGAGTACAACACAAAGTAGACAGTTTACAAAATTACAAGCAAACAATGTCTTGGCAAGCAGAAAGCTTCCTGCTTGATTATGACTGTGGGGATACAATTGGCTTGTGCTGAAAACGCTATGCTAGCTCGAAAGTCTTGTGAGTAAGAAGGAGAAATAACAGAGGAAAGGTATCGGTGCACATGTGAAACCTTACGAAGTACAGCAATGTGATATTTTTGTGCTTTTATTTCCAGAGGTCACCATGCATTCAGATTGTTTTCTCTGTCTTGCATCAAGTCAGCAGAGGCATTTTTCAAGTCCTGTTCACATTAATTCAGTAACAGTAGCAGCTAGGTGTCTTCAGGGCAAATGCTCTTGTGTGTCCACTTTAATGTCCATATTTTAAAGGGGCGGGTTAAATCTGCTGCTTCATGCTGATTTAGCATTTCCAGCTTTTTTTGCTCAAAAACACAGTGAGATGGGAAAAAAAAACATTCTGAACTAGTAGATTTTTTTTTTCTTGCTAGGTGGTGAATACAAAATCGATAAGTGCTACATTACTGACAACACTGACCTGTATGAAAAGTAGTGTAAAATTAGTGTATTAGTGGTGGGTGGTGGTGTTGTTTTTTTTAATTACTGCATTCCAAATATTGATTATAGTGTCACAAAAAATGTTTTAGCCATCTGTATCAAATTCACTGAGTTTGTTTATCTCACACTTTCCTAATGCCCACACTCACAGCAGATGTCATTGTAATACACAAAGTAGATAGAAATGTAATCTAAAGTAACAAAACACATCACCAACGACTGATGGCGCTATGGAAAAACTTACTAAAACCAGAACTTAAGACAAAGCCACTGATGAAACAAACTCAGATTAAATCTCAACTAGTCAAGTCAAATGTATTTATAAAGCACATTTACAACAGCAGCTGTTAGAAAAGTGCTTAACAGTAAGATCAATGGCAGTAATTAAATAAAAATAATAATAACAAAATGCAATTAAAAGCAATCTAAATAAAACATAAAAACACAAAACGATGAATTACTAAATCAAATCACATTGTGTTAAACGTCAGTGGAAACAGGTGTGTTTTCAGGAGAGATTTAAAAACAGGGAATGAAGTGGCCTGTCTAATGTTGGGGGGGGGGGGGGGGCAGATTGTTCCAGAGTTTAGGATTAATGACTGAAAAAGCCCGATCTCCTCTGAACTTCAGCCTGGTTTTTGGTACAACCAAAAGCAACTGGTCAGATGATCTCAGCGCCCGAGAAGGAACATGTGGTTGACGTAGCTCAGAGAGGTATGAGGGTGCAAGACCGTTTATGCACTTACATGTCAGCAGGAGAATTTTAAAATCTATTCTGATACATACAGGGAGCCAGTGAAGGGAGGACAAAACTGGTGACGAGTTTTTGTCAACAGCCGAGCTGCAGCATTTTGGACGAGCTGGAGACGTGAAAGGGAGACATGACTGACCCCAACATAAAGCGTGTTACTGTAGTCTAGCTGGGTTGTAACAAATGCATGGACGATTTTTTCAAGGTCAGATCTGGTCATCACTGAATTAAACTTAGCTAACTGCCTGGAAGAAGCTTTTTTTGTAGAACAGAGTTCATTTGTTTATTAAACTTAAAGTCAGATTCTAAAATCATCCAGAGATTTGAAACAGACTGCTTTATAATAGGCTAAACAGAAACTGAGACAGCAGTAGAGCCAGGGGTAAACACAATGACTTCAGTTTTCAGATCATTGAAACTTAAAAAAAATGTTGCCATCCATGCCTTAATGCCATCAAACTTGATTCAATTGTGCATGAACTACAAACCGGATTCCAAAAAAGTTGGGACACTAAACAAATTGTGAATAAAAACTGAATGCAATGATGTGGAGGTGCCAACATCTAATATTTTATTCAGAATAGAACACCAATCACAGATCAGAAGTTTAAACTGAGAGAATGTATCATTTTAAGGGAAAAATATGTTGTTTCCAAATTTCATGGTGTCAACAAATCCCTAAAAAGTTGGGACAAGTCCATTTTTACCACTGTGTGGCATCCCCCCTTCTTACAACACTCAACAGACGTCTGGGGACAGAGGAGACCAGTTTCTCAAGTTTAGAAATAGGAATGTTCTCCCATTCATGTCTAATACAGGCCTCTAACTGTTCAATCGTCTCGGGCCTTCTTTGTCGCACCTTCCTCTTTATGATGCGCCAAATGTTCTCTATAGGTGAAAGATCTGGACTGCAGGCTGGCCATTTCAGTACCCAGATACTTCTCCTACGTAGCCATGATGTTGTGATTGCTGCAGAATGTGGTCTGGCATTATCGTGTTGAAAAATGCAGGGTCTTCCCTGAAAGAGATGATGTCTAGATGGGACCATATGTTGTTCTAGAACCTGAACATAGTTCTCTGCATTAATGGTGTCTTTCCAGACATGCAAGCTGCCCATGCCACAAGCGCTCATGCAACCCCATACCATCAGTGATGCAGGCTTCTGAACAGAGCGTTGATAACAACTTGGGCTGTCCTTGTCCTCTCTGGTCCGGATGACATGGCGTCCCAGTGTTCCATAAAGATCTTCAAATCATGACTCATCTGCCCCCAGAACAGTCTTCCATGTTGCCACACTCCATTTTAAATGACCCCTGGCCCAGTGCAAACGTCTGAGCTTGCTTAGAAATGGCTTCCTCTTTGCACTGTAGAGTTTCAGCTGGCAACGGCGGATGGCACGGTGGATTGTGTTCGCTGACGATGCTTTCTGGAAGTATTCCTGAGCCCATTCTGTTATTTCCTTGACAGTGGCATTCCTGTTTGAGGTGCAGTGACGTTTAAGGGCCCGGAGATCATGAGCATCCAGTAGAGTTTTATGGCCTTGACCCTTACGCACAGCGATTGTTCCAGATTCTCTGAATCTTTTGATGATGTTATTCACAGTTGATGATGATAACTTAAAAGTCTTTGCTATTTTACGCTGGATAACACCATTCTGGTATTGCTGCACTATCTTTCTGCGCAACAATGGTGGAATTGGTGATCCTCTTACCATCGTGGCTTCTGAGAGACACTGACACTCTGAGAAGCTCTTTTTATACCCAATCATGTTGTCAATTGACCTAATTAGTGTTAATTGGGCTTTCAGCTGTTCGTTATATGCTCAATTTCCTTTTTCCAGCCACTTATTGCTACTTGTCCCAACTTTTTTGGGATTTGTTGACACTGTGAAATTTTGAATCAACATATTTTTCCATTAAAATGTTACATTTACTTTGATCGAACTTTTGATCTGTCATCTATGTTATATTACAAATAAAATATTGCCATTTGCCATCTCCACATCATTGCATTCAGTTTTTATTCACAATTTGTTTAGTGTCCCAACTTTTTTTGGAATCCGGTTTGTATATATACTAGGGGTTGAACGAGTATATAATTTTTAAACTCGACATTAACATAATAAAACCTGAGTAGAACTCGAGTATTTGATGACGTCATAGATCTCAAGATACAAAAATAAATAAAACCGCAAAAAACGGTAATTATTTACAAAAAACAGACCAACAAAACATTGGGAGCGTATATTATGCTCCTACCATTTATCATACTGCAAATAAGTCACAGGAAAAACTAAACTATTAGTTATTATTATTAAACTGCAAACGTGAAGAAAC